GGAGCTGGCTATCCTCCTACCTCAGCCTCCTGAGCCGATGGGATTGCAGGCGTGCGCCATCGTGCCTGACTATGAATTAGAAATCTTTAACTGATTTTTTTCTTCTAACCTACTACTGGTCCCCGTGACATCATATATTGGATCTTTTACTACATTTTCTCCATAAAGCCTTCACCACCACACTGTCATAGGTATCTAAGCCCCTAAAGTTGAAGAAATATGCCACTCCGACATATGGAAAGCTTTCATTCATTCAGCACAACAATGCATTGGGCATTGTTCTAGGCCTTGTGGAGAATCATACAAGATCTTTGACATATTAGAGGCATATTTAAAGTGATTCTCTATGGATTGGAGGTCAGGAATGAATAGAATAGAAGACAGTTTGGGATTCTGAGGACGTGCCATCTAAAGGGCAGAATGTGAGCTTTTGAGGAAGGCAGACCTAGATTCAGCATTCAGTCCTGCCATAGGAATAGTTTTATTGACTTCCTTATATATAAAATGAAGATTACTTTACCTACCTTAGATGAACATCGTAAAATTTATATAAATAACAGTAAGTACTTAGCACATGCTCAACATCAGATAGCATTTTCTACTTGTGAAAAAGGGGTTGGTTAAGCAAAAAATAATAAATATTAAAAGTACTAGGATAGAAGCCTGTTTCTTTTTAAAATTATAATTAAATATACATAAAGTGTACCGTCTTTACCATTTTTACTTTCGAAGATCAGTAGCATTAAGCACATTCATGTTGTGCAGCCATCTCCACCATGTATTTCTAGAGAGCTTTATCTTGCAAAACCAAATCTCTGTACACCTTAAAAAACAATAACCATTTATCTCCCTCCAGATACTGATGGCCTCCATTCTATTTTTTGTTATACGAATCCGATCACTCTAAGTCCCTATCCTACAGTGTTTGTCTTTTGTGTCTTGGCTTATTTCACTTAGCATAGTTACATCAACATTCACCCATGTGTAGCATGTGCCAGAATTTTTTTGCTTTTAAAGGGTGAGTAATATTCCATTGCATGGATACATCACATTTTGTTTATACATTCTTACTGTCAAATATTGCTGCTATGAACATAGATGTCCAATGTCTCTGAGTTCCTGCTTTCAGTTCTTTTGGATGTATGCATTCAGTTCTTTTGCCGAGTCATATGGTAATTTTATCTTTCATTTTTTGTGGAACCGCCATGCAGTTCATACATCCAAAGGCTACTTTTTGATGGGGAAGTGCAAACAGTGTAATTCCCTAGGAAATAGTTTCAAAACAGTCTTATGTAACATTTTGTAAATTACCTAAATGTGAGACTTTGGCAATTAAGTTTCTGTTTATATAAGTAATGCATAATTCACATTGCATAACATTCAGAACACCTCATGTGTAGGGCATGTAAAGACAGAAAAATGGTTAATGAGGCTCACTGTGGGCATGTGCATGGGATGCTCCTGCCTTCGTGTCCTCCTTTCCCAAGATCAGAGGAAATATCCCTCGTTAATGTCATTCCTTCTGCTTACTGTGGGAAAAGCAGGAAGAACTGATCTATCACAAGCTCATTTATTAAAAAAAAAAAGTGCAGATGTAAAAGTCAAATGCATTTTATGCATTCATCTTAAGTATACAGATGATGGATTTTTCAATAATATACTTTGCCTTTTTTTGGAGGGGGGTGGGTACCAGGTATTATACTTTGCCTTTTTTTGGAGGGGGGTGGGTACCAGGTATTATACTTTGCCTTTTTTTGGAGGGGGGTGGGTACCAGGTATTGAACTTAGGGGCACTTGACCACTGAGCCACATCCCCAGCCCTATTTTGTATTTTATTTAAAGACAGGGTCTCACTGAGTTGCTTAGCACCTTGCTTTTGCTAAGGCTGGCTTTGAACTCATGATCCTCCTTGAGCCTCCCAAGCCACTGGGATTATAGGAGTGCACCACTGTGCCCAGCATAATTTGCCTTTTTGTACTTAGCAATTTATTGTGAGCATTTTTTGTATGATTAGGTGATCTTCAGCAGCATTTAAGTTTTTGTTTTTGTTTTCATTATATTTGGAGGGTTTTGTTTGTTGGTGCTGGAGGGTGAACCCAGAGGCACTTTACTGCTGAGCTCCATCCCCAGACCTTTTTATTTATTTATTTATTCTTATTTTTGAAACAGTCTTGCTAAGTTGCTGAGGCTGGCTTTGAGCCTGTGATCCTCCTGTTTCAACCTCCTGAGTTGCTAGGATTACAAGTGTGCACTACTGTACCCATCTCATCCCAGGGCCTTTTTAAAACTTTAAGACAGGGCCTTGCTAGGTTGCCCAGGCTAGCCTGGAACTTGTGATCCTCCTGCCTCAGCCTCTTGAGCAGCTGGGATTATAGGCACCACCACTGCTCCCAAGTAAAGAGGTGTTTTAAGATAACAAGTCTCTCGGTTCCTGGGAGCTAAAGATGAAGTAGTTAAATCTTGCTGCTTTTCTGTGAATACTCTTGCTTTACTAAGTTGGAAGAATTGTCAAGTGGAAATAGCAACTGAGTTTGCTCCATACTAAGCTAGTGGGCATTCAGTCTTCAGGATGTCACATTCAGCTCCATTCTCCCTCAATTCCAGTGAGGCCAAGGTTGAACTCCTTCCTCCCTGTCAGCTGGCTTTGCTGTGTAGCATCAGGGGACCTGGCCAGGGAAACTACAGCAGTCTCATCCACTCAGGAATCCATTGCTTAGCCACACATATGCATTGGGAATCTTCCATTTGGATGTAGTCTTTTCAACACAGGCAGAGATTCTCCCATTCCTTTTGTTTAATTTTTAAAAATTTTTTTTAGTTGTTGATGGGTCTTTCTTTAATTTATTTGTATGCAGTGCTAAAAATCCAACCCACTCTTGCTAGGCAAGTGCTCTACCACTGAGCTAAACCCCCTTTTGTTTTATGTTTTTAGTTACTGGAGATTTAACCAAGGGGTGCTTTACCACTGTGCTACATCCCCAGCCCTTTTTGTATTTTATTTTGAGACAGGCTCTCCCTAGGTTGCTTAGGGCCTTGCTAAGTTACCAAGGCCGGCCTTGAATTTGCAATCTTCCTGTCTCGACTTCGGGAGATGCTGGGATTACAGGTTTGTGCCACCACACTGCTCTCCCGTTTTGTAGATCTGAGAGTTTAGGTATTTTGTTCAGAATCAAATAGCAGAAGTGACTAAGACTGAAACCCAGTCTTCTCTCTTAATATCAGAATTTGTTCATTTTTTAAATTAAAAATTTTTTGGTCCCAATCCCAAAAAACCAAAGACCAAATGTTCTCTCTGATAATGCAGATGCTAACACAGAATAAGGGAAAGGAAGAATAGAAGTTCACTGAATTAGACCAAAGGGAATGAAGAAAAGCAAGGGGCGGGGGGGCGGGTGGATGGGAATAGGAGAGACAGTAGAATGAATTGGCCATAACTTTCCTATGTTCATCTAAAAAGAACAAAAAAGTTACAAATCAAGACCAAAAAAAATGCACAGGTGTTCAGATGCAAACATCTCTCTTTTCTCAACTCCTCATTGCCTAGAAAGTAACTTGGCACTTAACTCAAGACTAGACCTTTGGTACTCAGCTGGGGTGAATGTGCCCCCTGGGAGACAATTGGCAATGTTTGGAGACATTAGGTTGTTATAGCCAGAGGGTGCTATTGGCATCTACTGGGCAGAGATCAGGAATATGCTGCAGTGCACAGGACAGCTCAGCAGATAATTATGGAGCCCAAAATGTCATTAGTGCCCAGGCTGGAGATGGAAACTACCTTCTCAGCCTTGATTTCACTCTTTCCGTTACTGATACTGCCCTCCCAGCCAGATCCAGCAGCTCCCACACCTGTCCATAGACCATCTGAAGTACTTCTTCAGGACCTTTCACCTGAAATCCTCTTTCTACTTCTCTGATATCAGAGCCGCCTGTGCTTCTCACACTGTCTCTGAAGCTCGGTGCTCTCTCCAGCCATTGTTTTTTCCTTCTCGCCTCCTATGGACTACTCTAATAATTTGGCACTTAGCTGACAATAGAAGGTGGTGCTTGCTTTCTTTCCAACTTGATGGAAAGTAAAGTAAAGGCTATGTTAATATTATTTGATTTGAAATATGAACTGCTACCCAGTGGGCACCTCTGACTTAGCCCACACAGGGTTTTCCATGATAGCTTTCCTGACACCCTGGGCTACAGTGACTGAGACAGCTCTGTTCCATCACAGCAGTTGAGTACCTTGGGATTAAGCTTTGTTTAGAGCAACTAAACAAAGAACAACTAGCTGGGTGGAACCTGAGCACAAATGAATGTATAATTAGAAAAGTATGTAGAACCTACTTCTTATTTCAGTTATAAGACACAGGGTGAGGATGGTAATTCAGGAATGGGCTGTAGTTTGCCTCTGATCACTTCCTTCCAATGGAGTGTAGGCTGGAGGATCCTTCTTAAGGCACTTGGGAGATATTCCATTTCAGCTGTTCAGATAGTGACTGATCCACCATAGCTGGACCTGATGACTGCAGTTGGTGTTGATGAAGATGATATTAGTAGTGAAAACTGCCATAGAGTCTAGTGTGTGCCAGGCATCAGCCAAGATGCTTCATTCATTAGTTATTTCATCCAGTCTCCAGTGTAGCCCTGGAGGGAAGCTGAAGCTCTGAAAGAATAATTTTCCCAAGGCACCTGGCTAAGAAATAGCAAGCTGGAGGTTAAACAAGATGTATCTGACTCCAAAGTGTCAGCTTCCATCTCACTGTCTTGAACGTAGCCAGGCGCCTTTGCTGCTGCTGCTGCTGCTGCTGGAAGTTATTTATGCTGTGTGATATGCCGTGTTGGGAAGAGACCCCTGTAGTCTCCCTGGAAAGGGGGCTTAGGAGTCTTGAGTTGTGAATCAGGACCAGGTGCCCCACTTGACCACTCTGCTGCTGCAGGACAAGGAAACCTCATGGGCTGTGCCCTGATCACTGGAGTATGTGCTGACCTTCTGATTTTTGCTTCCCTTCTAGGTGCACTATATCCTCCAGGAGGTGGTGATGGGTGGGATGGTGTTGGAAACAAACATGAATGAAATTGTGGCTCAGATTGAAGCTCAAAACAGGCTGGAGAAATCAGAGGTGAGCTGTGTGCTTGCCTGGACAGAGAAAGGAATGTGTGCAAGTGCCAATTTGTGTTGCTGTGGAACCTTAGGAAATGGTTTATCCTCATTTTCTCACTCCTTTGTATCCATCAAAACTTATTGACTTGGAGGTTGGTCCTGAAAATTGAGCAAGTCAGGAGAGTTGAAGTCTTAGACTTTCAGGATGGAAGTGTGAATGGAAAAGACAAATAGCAGAGGAAGGCACACAGCTTCTGGCTTGGGGGGTGATGGCCTGTTTGTGGTTTGTAATTTCTTCTCTTAAAGCCACATGCTCCCTGGAGAGATCCAGAATCCCATTCTCTAGTTCACTGTGGTTTCCTAGTTTGTGTGCTATATGACTCTAATCTCTCAGCAGCCATTTATCATGGAAATGTCATGTGACAATAAGCTGGGACACGTGGATATGCTGGGACAAACTGGGACAGGTTGGGGACTTTGATGTTGATATCGCCAATGTTGATGTTCCATGGGATCTCAGGCAGGTTGATGTTTTTCACAGCCAATATCTTCAGAGTTTCCAATGTCCTCATTTCCAGCTAGCCTGCTAAAGGGCCACAGCAGAGTTGGGGCCACATTTGAAAATCTCATTCCCAATCCATCCTCATGGGGCTGGGCTTGATAAGAAGTTCTCAGTGAAGTTAGTTCTATCCCCTTGACATCTTTCTGACCCCTTCCTCAGTCAAAGACAAGCAGTCACCTATGCAGAAATAGCAGAACAAATTACCTCTTAAATTATCTGAGTGTCTTAAAAAAGAGTTTCTTTGCTTTGTATGATGGAACCTGATCTTGCGAAACAAGGAATTCTCTACGTGAGGATTGGCAGTCCTGCTGAGGAAGCTTTTCCAGACCGAAGCTCTTGTGGCAGCTTTAGTTCTTTGAGAAAGGCAGTCTGGAAAACTTCCAGAAATAGTGAGTGAGTCAGAGGCAAGGGGTTTGGAAACCAGAAGAAACAGAGATTTGCTGGGTGAGGGTGGAATTGGAGTCATATCCTGAAAGTAGTTAATAGGGGAAATAATTTAGAGAGCCTACTTTAGCTCTTCCCCTCCCCACACTGGGAGTGAGCCTGTAGGCCTGTCACAGATGTCTCTGCTATTTTTGTTACTAGTCTTCTGTGTCTGCTACACTCCACCTCCTGCACGTCCATGTGTCCCAACTTATTGCCACATGACATTTCCAAAGCCAGCCCTTTTCCATATCACATTCTTAGTTGGCAAGCAATTGCCCTAAAGCTGTGACATTCCATTTTTGAATGAACCTGTGGCTTTGCCTTTATCTATAAGATTGTCTCTTGAGGAAAGGATTTTGTTTTGTAACCAGAAAAGCACTTCCTCAATGCTCTTTACAGCTTGGATATACCACTTCAAGTTATCTTAGCCAGTATCTATTAACACCCACCATGGACCAAATGCTGTTAGATTCTGAGGCTCTGGAACTGCATAAGACACAGCCCTATCTTGGAGGAGCTTGCAGTCTGATATGAGCTCAGGCTTTGGGTCCCCCATACCAAGCCCCAGCTACCTTAACGATTGTTTTGTTGGCTGCCTTTGAGGAATAAGGATAAAAATTTTAAAATTCTGTTGTTTGCTCAGTTTGGAATTTTTCTAGGTCTCCTTCATCTGTATTTTGTTTTGTTTTGAAAGCATTAAGCAGATGTCACTGAGAATGGTCTCACATTCACCTCTCATTTTTCCTCAGGGTGGCCTTTCAGCAGCACCCGCGCGGGCCGTGTCTGCTGTGAAGAACATGAATCTGCCTGAGATCCCACGGAACATCAACATTGGCGATATCAACATCAAAGTCCCCAATCTGTCCCAGTTTGTCTGAGGGTGGAGGGTTGGAGACCTTAAGACAGACAAAGACAGTCAAGTCTGGAAACAATCCATTTTGAGCCTTAGAAGAGTCAAGCCTCAGGACCTTGAACCTTTCTGTCTGGGAAGACCATCTGGCCTGGAATGGGGAAGGGATTCAGATGCCACTGTGTGGAGCACTTAGTTCTCGCACATACAGTCATGCCACTGTATACATGGCACTGGTGATGTGAGTAGGCAGTCAGTGTGGCCAGGCCACTTGCACATTTACCTCCTGCACACAGCTGCTCCCAGGGACTGAGGACTGTGTGGATCAAGCCCACCTGTGGCCCAGAATCCCATCACTAGAGCTGAGTACTTTCTCTGACTAAAATTTTCTTCTTCAGTACCACAGGCTTCTGAGGTCCTCTGGCATTTACTTGTGGCAAGCACCTAGGGAAGAGGATCAGCCCTTCAGACCTTGGGATGTGGCAAGTAAGGGAAGGGTATATAAGAACCACAGACACCTGCAGGCTCTCCTAGGGTTACACCCAGAATCCTTTTTTATAACCAAGCTGTCTGGTCATCGCCTCCTGTTAAATACATCCCCTGTGGCTTCAGTTCTGTTCTCACAGGTGTTTATATGCAGGACACAATCTAAATCATAAGCCTGGCTCATTTCACCATACTTCTGCTGATAAAGGAGGTACCTCACACCACAGAGAGATCCTCCTCCCAGAGAAGAGGTCCTGTGACTGTTAGAGGTTAAAGCTGCCAATGTGTGGAATATCCCAGGATTATGACTCTTCCCAAGTTTAAAACACATTCCCTTCCTAAGAGCAGTTGCTGTGTTGTGATAATGAGTCCCCCCATCAGTAGGAGACCCAATGCCACCAGTGCCAGCCTCTAGAACATGCGATCTGGGGCCCCTTGCAGGGTCCAGACCAGGAACACACTGGTGAAGACTGGAGCAGTGCTGCATCTTCTCCCTCCCTGAGCTTGACTTTGGACACTTCCAGTTCCCTCAGGTGACAGTCTCCCAGGGCTTTGGAGACCTGTAAATGTTTACATGCAAAGAGTCTTTCTTCCTATGGATAATTTGAATCTAAAACCGCTGCTCATAGTAGGACCTCTTACTCCACATTGTCCCACCACACTGTCGTGCCGGCCAGGTCTCAGGAATGATGAGAGCTGCCTTGAGATTAGGGAGCTAACTGCACTTTGATGGAAGTCTCCCAGCCTGGTGTCCCAAACTGGTTCCTCAGGCCTCCTGAAGCTGTTGCAGAGCAGGCCTGAGATGGTGCCTAGCAGGACTCTGTGTCAGGGCCATATCATTTTTCTTTTCTTGAACAGTACTTCCCATGGTTTGTGCCCATTGTTCCTGGAAGCCTCCTGTCCTTACTCCTTCAGCACCACTGTGGTAACCTCAGTGATAGGCAGTTGACCAGAAGGTAGGCCTCTTGTGGGAAAGGGGGAAGAATGGGAGAATCAATCTGATGACAAACCCCTCACAACACTCCCCTAAGGGATTTGAATTTTTTTTTTTTAGCACATTGATATCCCTTTCATGTTTGCCAAGTGTGAAATAGGAATAAAATAAGGCAACTGATGCTAGGCATGGTGGCATATGCCTGTAATCCTAGCAGCTCTGGAGGCTTAGGCAGGAGGATCACAAGTTCAGCAACAACAAGGCACTAAGCAACTCAGTGAGACCCTGTCTCTAAAAAAGAATACCAAAAATAGGGCTAGGGATGTGGCTCAGTGGTAGAGTGCCCCTAAGTTCAATTCCTGGTACAAAAAAACAAAGGTAACTGATATTTACTCTGTACCTACCGTAAGGTAGAATAAACAAGATTCTTCAACAGTTCTTACGACAGACTTTCTTATCCCCATTTCGCAGTGAAGAAAGTAGATTCAGGTCCAGTAACCTGCTTTAAAGTTACAGGGGGCTAAGGTTTGACACCATCTGCCTGCCTGACTATGGAAGTCCTTTTTCCCCCCACACTGCTGAAAGTGGCTTCTCCCAATTTTATCATCTTTATAGATAAGGAAGCTCAGTCTCAAAGGGATTAAGCACCTTCTCACAAACTGATAAAAAACAGGCTTGGTTTTCTACCAGTGACCACATCATAAACTAAGAGCTGAAAAGGGTCTCTGTCTCCCTTCAGTTTAACTGTGTAAGCCCAGAGTGTTAAGTGTTGTGTTGAGGGTCACAAAGCTAGAAAAAAGTCACCATTCTTGAGTTCATTTGTTAGGTGGCTGAATGCATTACTGCAAGACAGTCACGTGAACCGAATTTCCTGGGATAGTCATGGTTTCAAATTTTTTGCCTACCAGAAACAGTGGTTCCCAAAAATCATTGACTAGCCATGTGGATTATAAAAGTAAGCATCCGGGCAACCTCCCTCATACCACCTCTTAAAATTCATAAAACTGATTTTTTGCTTGGAAAAAAAAATCCATCTGGACCAGTCACAATACTACTGTTCATTAACTACTTGAGGTTGCCTTTAAATCCAACTAGCTTTTTTTCCTGCTATCAGCAAAACCATAAACATCTTTTTTTTTTTTTTCCTTTTTTAGTAGTTAAAGAGAAAATCTTCTTTGGCTTTTTTTTTTTTTTTTAAGGAATAAATTTTGCTGCTAAGAGATGTCAGTTATAAAAGTAGGGGCTAAGTTGGGTACGGTAGTGCATATCTACTATTATAACCTTAGCTACATTGGAGGCTGAGGCAGAAAAATCACAAGCTTGAGGCCAGCCTGAGCAACTTGGTTCTTAAAATAAAACAAATGTTAAAAAAATTTTTTTTTTTTTAAAGGACTGGGCATGTAGCTCAGTAATAGAGCATTCCTGGGTTCAATCCACATTACCAAAAAAAAAAAAAATCTAGGTTTGGATTTACTTTAGGATGCCTTGGCCCTTGATGGTTGGTTTATAATACTGGACTTTTAATGCTCACTGACACTAATTAAAATCTGAAATTCTTCCATCGTACAGTTTCTAGTTGCCTATTGAATTTAGTTCTAGGCTCTGAAGATAAGAGGGAAATGAGGCCTTGCCTTCTTAGCTGCCTATGATTATCTGAGAGTACAACTGGAGCTGTGGAGAAATCAGTGATTGTGATAATGTGGAGTATTTAAATGACTGTATCCATTTCCTACCCTTGGCTGGCTACATGCTGGCTGGGCCACGCCCAGAACAGCCCATCTTCTGGGTCTGGCCATGGTCCTGTGAGTGCCACACCCAAGATGTCTTGAGTTCTGGAAAGTTCTTGTTTATTCAGGCAGGCCTTTGCCACTTGCAGAGCCAATCCTCCCTGTATACCACCTCCACCCACAGAGCCAGCCCAGGGAAGTTCTCTCTAGCCCTGGCTGCCCCCCAGGGGGCAGGGAGTAGGCACAGGAATGTGGCTAAAACCAGTTTGCTGGCTAAATCTTAATCCGTTGCCCAGTGTTTAGTGGGGATTTCCTCAGTATGGCAATATGTTCATGGCTTTCAGATAAGATGCAGCAGTGAGTGGTACATGAAAATAAAGAGAGGAGTGGGCCTAGTCCAGGTTTAGCAATAACCAAGGGAGAGAGCCATAGAAATACGGGAGAGACCCAGAGGAGCATATTGGTTCTTAGCAAATACCATTTTCCACCTCCTGAGGGAAGCCATCTCACTGTAGTGGCTGTAGACCTCTGGTCTACCCACACTTGAACACCAGCACATGGCCGGTGCTCACAGATACTTGAATAGCAGTCCTTAAGGTTCAGGCTAAAGGCTCTATTTGGGCAGTGTTTTCACAGAAGTGGCAGATGAGAAAATGGGCCCCTCAAGGGAGGTAGTTGCATGGAAATGATTAATTCTTTCTGATTTCAGTTTTTCCCTTTGTAAGGGGAAATGACATACAGTTCAAATTTTAAGAAAAGATTGGTCAGCAAAAAGACTGATCAACACTGTTACTCTACCACTTAGCCCCATCTCTGGAAGCAGCAAGTATTTTCAAGTACAAAGAAACAAAGTCCCTGGATCTTTATTAACCAAAACTGAGGGCATACCTTCTTGGAAGTTATATTCCATCTGGCCCTGTTGGTTGACCTTAGCCCAGCACAGTCATGCCAGCCTCTTTGGGGAGGAGGGGCCTTACAGATAACCCAGTGTAAAACAGCACCCCAAGTTAAACACTACCTGTCACTACTCAGCCTTACCTTTTCCAGGGCGCTCTGACATGTTTGGTTTTAAGTTATTTTTTTCTGGGATTAAGTTTGGGGGGTAGGGCAAAGTTTGTCTTTTTTGTCCTAGCTGCTCAATAAATAACTGTTGAATGAGTGAATGGTTGAGGCAGATGGTAATTAATTCTTACAATCTCTCAGCTGATGCTCTCCAGGGCCCTGTGCACACTAGAAAGGAGAACCAGGGTGATGGCATTGGAAGCAGGAAGTGGAGGGGGGCAGGTGATGGCTGTGAAGGGTGAGGGAGGGAGAAGAGTGACATTGGTTGATGTTGGCAGATGGAGGAGTGGCAGAAATGGTGCCTCAGAGAAGGATGTGGTGGAGGTGGAGTGTTAGTGTTCAGGGGTTTGGATGTTAGGTTGCAGTCGTCTAGGGGCAGATGTCCACAAACAATTTAATGAACAGGAGAGGAAGAGTGTTCATCCCCTCATGAGGGTGAGTGATGTTACAAGGGATGAGAGGGCTGGGGACAGCCCATGAGCAGGGGAAGAAAGAAATGTCTAGTCATTGAAGTGACTTCTAGTCAGGGGAGGACTCTCAGTGGGAAGAGGGACTAAGAAGAGGTGATCTCCTGGGCTTGTAGCTGCTCAGCCAAGCCCCGGTAAGTGAGCCAGCAAAAATGGAGAACATTGAAGAAGTGGCTGTAGCTAGTGGTGTGACAAGGTCAAAACGATAAGGTGGCTGCAAGGGTCACCATCTATCTGTGTAATGCAGCCAGAACCTTCCAAAGGTCAGTTTCCTCATCCATCAAAAGGGGGCAACCGCCAGGCACAGTGGCATGCGCTTGTAATCTCAGCAGCTTGGGGGTCTGAGGCAGGAGGATCATGAGTTCAAAGCCAGTTTCAGCAACTTAGCAAGGCCCTAAGCAACTTAGCAAGACCCTGTCTCTAAATAAAAAAGAAGGGCTGGGGATGTGGCTCAGTGGTTAAGCACCCCAGGGTTTAATCCCTGGTACAAAAAGGTGGGGTGTTGGGGGGAGCAGTAATCCCTGCTTCAGGGTTGTTATGAGGATTCACAGATCATGATGCAGGACCACAAAGAGCTCCACAAACAGGCTGCGCCTTCATTGGGTTTTTTGCAGAGGGAATGGAAGTTGAGGTAGAGGAATATGTGAGAAGTTAGTGGTCCGAAGAAGAGAGATGCCATATCTGGTGCTCAAGTCCTGGCAGAAACAGGAGGGGACAAAAGGGTAGTAATAACCAAGGGGCTTCAAGGAAGGGTGCTTCAGAGGGAGGACAGGAACAGTGGCCACTGACCTGGTCTCAGTGGGGTTCCAAGCCAAGGTACTGTCAAAGGTCACCCTTTGTCCTGAGCAGTGCCCATGTGAAAGTGTTTCCCAACCTCTCAGGTGCAGGGCTCCAGGTGCCTGACACCCTTCCAACCCTCCAAGAGGCTCTGCAGCTGGCTTCAGGCCTCAGGGGCCACAACTCTTCTTCACTGAAGCAAGGTTGAATTTGAACTGCCAACTGCTAAACCAGCTTTTCTGGAATTTGCTTTGCATAACTGGGAAGTGTAGCTGACTCCTCAATTAGCTAGACCCCCCAACCTCTGTGTTGGACTCAGCCCTTTGGGGACAGGAGTTCTCAGCTAAGAACCCGTCCTGGGCTTCCCAGCTTGTCTGCCTCTTTGCACTGGTTGCACCTGCCTTGGCCCAAGAAACTGCCACCCAGCTCAGCAGCTGTTTAAAGTGCACAATGACATTACAGGGTTGGAAGGAAATCCCGTCAACTCTGTGCCAAACAGACAGGTTCTTGTGACGTTGCCTGGCACAGGTAGACATTTATTTTTTTTATGTGGTGCAGAGGATTGAACCCAGTGCCTCATGCTTGCTAGGCAAGTGCTCTACCACTGAGCCACAACCCCAGCCTCTACAACCTGTTCTTGACATGTCACTCACCTCACTCCCAGCCCAGCCCAGCCCAGCCCAGCCCAGCCCAGCCCAGCCCTGTAGAGCTGCTCTGGACTCCCTTGGCTCCAGGCCAGGTCCTGTCTTCGGACCACACAGCTCCCCTGGCTTCCACGTGTCCTCACAGGTGGCACTGTTGCTCTGGCCTACAGCCCCAGCTTTGTCCCTCATTGAGGTCCAGGCATCCCAGCCCCTATCTTCTCATCCCTTCATAGCCCCAAGCCAAAGTTCTCTGTCCCTGAGAACTCACCACCAGCCACAAATGCCGTTCAGTGTCAGTGTCCTGGAGCCCATGCCCTGCCCAGATACCTCACAGCCCTCTGCTATTTCTCTGCCTTCACCTCAGACTCCTATCCCCCGTCTCACTGCCTAACAGCCAGCACGAACCTTCTAACGCATTGATCAACCACCTATGACCTGGCAGCATCTAGAGATTTCTGCAGGCTTCCTGCCAGCCTCAAAACAGAATTCACGGCCTCGCATGGCTGCCTCACTGCCATTATGTCCTCACGTCATACCAAGCTCTGCCTCACT